CGGGTTTTATTCTATATCCCCTAAACTGAAATGGTGGGTTTTGAATTGAAATCCATCATTTCAATTTTTCCATCATGTTACAGTGAGGGGTTTGATCCTTTTCTTTTTGTTGTTGTTGTTGGAGCTGGAGCCTGCCCATGGCCGTGGGGGGTGGGGGCGGGGTGGTGAGTTGCAGGTGGGCTGAGTGGCCCCTGACCTGCAGGGGGCCCCAGTCCTTCCCTCTGCAGTGCCAGTGCTTGCCAGGGCCACCTGAGCAGGCTGCTCGCAGGCCGGGTGCTGCCCCAGCTTGGAGGCAGGCACCACCTGAAGTGATCCAATTGTTCCCTGAGCCCATCTGGGGAACAGCACTCAACGGGCTTCCAGTGGGTGGGCTCAGGGAACAGTTGGATCAGGTCAGGTGCCACCTCCAAGCTGGGGCAGCACTCAGCCCGCTAGCAGCCTGTCTGGGCAGCCCCTGGGGATGCCACCATTGGGGAGGGAAGGACCAGGGCCCACATATCTCATGGGCCTCTTGGCTTGCTGGCAGCTCACCCCTGAGCCATGGAGGGGGAGCAGGGAGGCTGTACAACAGCAAGAATCAGGCTTCTCACCATCTCTGCTTGAAAGCAGGGTCTTGCGGCCAGCAGGATGCTTGGGGCCACCTGGGAATAGGCTGGCTTGACACTGGGGCAGCATGGGAAGGTGGCAGGAAGGTGGCTGGGCTTGCTGGTGGCTAGAGAAGGTGGTGGGGATGGTGCACGGGGTGCTGGAAGCCTGGACGGGCTCAGGGAAGAATTGGATTGGGCACCTCTGAGCTGGGGCAGCACTTAGCCAGCTAGCAGCCTGCCTGGGTTTCCAGCTCCCTGTACACCTGGGTCCAGCCTCCAGCCCCCAGCTCCTTGGCTCCAGACTCTGGCCCCAGCCTCCAGCCTCCGGCCCCTGGCGCCTAGCCCCAGCCTCCATCCCCCAGCTCCAGCCTCTGGCCCCAGCCCCCCAGCCTCCATCCACCAGCTCCAGCCTGGAGCCTCTGGCCCCAGCTCTCATCCTCTGTCCCCCAGCCTCTCAGATCTAGCCTCCAGCTCCAGCCCCCAACCTCCAGCTTCAGCCTCTGGCCCCCCGCCTCCAGCTCCAGCCTCCAGTCTCCAGCCTCTTGGCTTCAGCCTCAGCCTCTGGCCTCCGGCCCCCAGCCTCAGCCTCTGGCCTCCAGCCTCTCAGCTCCAGCCACCGGCCCCCAGGCCCCAGCCTCCAGCGCCCAGCCCCCTTCGATAAGTGTCCCATGCCGGACTGAGGCGGCATGCTCACGGACCGAGGCAGCATGCTCACGGATCATTACTCCTTAGAGGGAACATTGCCTATAACCTTATCAAATGTGTATTATTTATAGATTCACAGATTCATAGATGCTAGGGTCAGAAGGGGCCTCAAAGGATCATTGAGTCTGACCCCTGCCAGTGGCAGGAAAAAGTGCTGGGGTCATGTGACCCCAGCCAGGTGTCCAGTCTCCTCTTGAAGACCCCTAAGGTAGGGGAGAGCACCACCTCCCTTGGAAGCCTGTTCCAGATTCTGATGACCCTAACCATAAAGAAGTTCTTCCTGATGTCCAACCTAAATCTACTGTCCATCAGCTTGTGGCTGTTGTTTCTGGTTATTCCAAGGGGTGCTCTGGTAAACAGAGCATCTCCTATTCCCTGCTGTCCCCACTCCAGTGAATTTGTATACTGCCACAAGATCCCATCTCAACCATCTCTTGTGGAGGTTGAAAAGGTCCAGGTCCCTCAGCCTTTCCTCATAAGGCCTTCACTGGAGGCCTCTAACCATATAAGTGGCCCTTCTCTGGACCCTCTCAAGGTTGTCCACATGCTTTTTGAATTGTGGCACCCAGAGTGGGACATAGTAATCTAGCTGTGGCCTGACCAGTGCTGCATAGAGGGGGAGCATCACCTCCCTGGACTTGTTCGTGACGCACCTACTAATACATGAAAAAGTGCGGTTAGCTTTGCTAATTACTTCATCACATTGATGACTCATATCCATCTTGGAGTTGACAACGACTCTGAGATCTCTTTCTGCCACTGTGCTGCTGAGAAGGTCATCGTGCTTGTGATTCCCTCTCCCTAGGTGCAGCATTTATCACTTGTCCTTATTGAACTGCATCCTATTGTTCTCTGCCCACTTCTCTAACCTGTCCAGGGCTGCCTGGATTCGGTTTCTTCCCATCAATGTGTTTGCTTTGCCCCATAGTTTGGTGTCATCTGCACATTTGGTCAGAGTGCTTTCCATGCCCTCATCCAGGTCACTGATGAAGATATTGAACAGCACTGGCCCAAGGACTGAGCCTTGGGGGACCCCACTGCCCACATCTTTCCAGGTTGATACTGACCTGTCCACCACCACTCTCTGGGTACAGCCAATTTGCCACACACATGACTGTGTGGTTGTCATGGGTGAATGGTGCTGCTTTAGTCATGGGGGGAACTTGCCCCCCAAGCGACCAGTCAGTGACTGGGGTGGGGGTCCCCCTGTGGCCGATCTTGCTGACTGGGGGTGGGGATGTCCGATCACTACAGCCACACCACTCGCCAGCCGGTGGTTGCAGGGGGGGCACCAGCACTCCTGCCCCCACTGCCCATTGCCTAAGTGGCAAGTGCAGCCAGTCAGCAGATGCACTGGTGCTCTCAGGGGGTGCACCCCCTACACGTTGCCCCTGGTCATCAGCTGTTCAATTTGTTTATAAGAATAGGATGGGATACCATGTCAAAGACCTTCTTAAAGTCCAAGTAGATGACATCTACCTCCATTTCTGCATCTAAGCTTTTAGTAACCTGGTCATAGCAAGAAACCAGCTTAGTCAGGCAGGATCGACCTGCTCTGAACCCGTGCTGGTTGCCCTTCAGCTTTATATTACCCACTGGACTCCTACAAAAGTGATCTGTGATAATTTTTTCAAGGGTTTTCCCAAGGATAGAGGTAAGACTACCCGGCCTATAGTTACCTGGATCCTCCTTCCTCCCCTTCTTGAAAATAGGGACCACGTTGGCCCTTTTCCAGTCCTCTGGGACTTCACTTGGGCACCATGACTGCTCAAACAGATGTGCCAGTGGCTCTGCTATGGCACTGGCTAATTCTTTCAGCACCCTTGGATGGAGCTCATCCAGTCCCACTGATTTCAACACATCCAGCCCCTTCAAGTGTCTCTTTACTAGGTTGGCACTGACAGTTGGTGGGCTGGTGTTTCTCTTGCTTCTGTCAGTAATGTGTTTGGGAGATTTGTTGATCCGAGTTCAAGAATACAGAAGCAAAAAACTCATTGAAGAGCTCTGCTATGTCCCTTCTATCTGTATATCATGTAGGGGTCCTATGCTGCTCTGCGCCTTCTTTCTGCTCCCTATATACTTGAAGAAGGACTTTTTATTGTCCTTAATTTTTGTTGCCAGCCTGAGTTCTAATGCTGCTTTGGCCTTTCTAACTAATTCCTTGCAAGTGTGAGCCAAGGAGTTATACTCCTTAGAATCTTGCAAGCAAATACAAATTAAGACATTTAAAATACTCTTTGAATGTGGATTATGTACTTAAAATGGAAAATAACTTTTTCAGAACAACTGTTCCATCTTCCTCTTAAACATATGTTTATAATTTGTTGTGTTGCTGTTTAAAAATTACAGTATTTTTCCAGTAGACTGGAGCATAGCCCTGAATTCTGTTTTGGCATACAAGGTGCTTTATATTCATATATATGTTTGACATTTTAACTACATAGTTAAGCTTAAATCCTACAAAGAATTTTTGTATATATTTAACTTTATACTTTGAATAGTGCCATTGAGTTCAGAAAATTGGTTTAAACCCTCTATTCCTTCATTTTTCCAATTTCTATAGTGGAAATAAAAATAGCAGCTTTAGAGAGTACAGTGGAGTCACATCTTACGCGGGGGTTAGGTTCTAAAGTCAGCGCGTAAGGCAAAAATCGCGTATCGTCAAAATATTTACGTGTCACGTTGGAGACCGACATACCATCTCTCAATAAATCCAACACAGCCAGGTTTTCCTTCAGTGTTGGAACACATCGCTGTTTCTTTGGTTGAGTACCAGATGAAGTAGTTAGCTTGCATTTAGGGGCCATGTTGTATGAAAAATATGTGTCTTTAAACACTAGAATCACACAGTGCGGTGAGATGCTTACACTATGAGAGGCATGTAGGAACTGAGACTGACTGAGGGAACAGCAGATTCATGTCTCCCATCTCATGCTCACTCTGGGGCATACGCTCATTGAGTGGAATGGCGGGTGGAATCACCCGCACTATTGAAATTGTTATTTTTTTCTATTTTTTTTTGCCGAGCGTGTATAGTTGAATTTGCATAAGTTAAATGTGCGTATGATGCGACTCCACTGTACTGCATGTATGATGCGACTCCACTGCATGCATGATGTAACTCCACTAAATGCATTGTACTGTGAGAAATAGTAGGAGTTCAAAGTGCTTTGAAGATGAGAAAACAGCATGGTACACAAGCACTGAGGGGTTTAACAGGATTTATAATAGGTTAAAAAATTCCTGGATAATATACATCTGGAAAGATTGACTTGCCTGTTCACTAATTAGCAACTCTTAAGTTTTCAAAAAGCACTACTCCCTACACGCATGGGCAAGGTAAGCAGCATTGCACCTTAATTGTTTACAATTTGGTCTGTATTTTATGTCTCAGAGTTCAATGCATTTAGCTAGACCTAGGCATTCATGTACTTCAGCAGAGAGGTTTAGATATACTGGTAGAATTATAATGTCTGACATATCAAAGGGTGAGCCAAATGTATGGTTGATGTATCTTGTTTATGTCTGTTGACAGGTTAGTGTAAATTTATGGATTGTCTTTCAATTATGACCTAAATACATTTATTGCATATACTTTGTGCTACTGCTGTTAGGTGCCTTGGGTAGTGCTTGGCTTTAAACATATCATATGGAGTTAATGAATTACACCAAAACGATAAAATTTTGCTCTTCTGTTCTTCAGGTCTTGGGAACGGATGAAGATAACATGGGGGATGGTTGCTCTCAGAAGCTGGCTTCGGCCAAGTTTCTTCGACTTTTGCTACTAATATTGATTCCATGCATCTGTGCTCTTATCCTTTTGTTGGTGATCCTACTTACTTTTGTAGGTGAGTACTATGCTGCAATCTCAGTCTAATATACTTCTAGAATTAAAAGAGAATTAGTAGTATATCTATACCTGTATCAGTGATACTGCCTGGCTTAATACTTGAACTACATATTTGTAATTTAGCATTTTGCCAATTCAAATTGCAAAAGCATGGAAAGATATAAACAATTATTGCATTTTTCTGTACTAAAAATACTAGCCATCTTAAATGTCATACAATCAAAGTAATTAGCATGGGTAGACATAAAACTGAATAGTATCTAACTAGCTAGCACTTAAGGTTCTGGCAAATTCATGAATCTGTTTCCTCAACTCAGTCTATGAATGGTGATTTGCAACAAGACTTTGTCATAGCTGGTCCTTTCATTTGGCTTGTGATGGGTAAGCCAAAACACTACACTAATGAGTGTAGTGATTGAAAATTAACGTTTGAGTTCTATTGTTAAAATGACAACAAGCTGAAGCAGATAAAGATCAGTCAAGTCAGACAATTAGGAAATGTGATACCTCCCTTTTATTTTCCTGATTCCCATTTGAATCTTTCATATATTTTGCCCTGGACTGAATGAGAAAGAAGATAGAAAGTAGATATATTTGTCTGTCACACTCAATCTCCTCCTTAGGGGAAAGTATCTGTATAGCAGCTGGAGTACTGCATCCAGTTTTGGGCTCCACAATTCAAGAAGGATGTGGAGAAACTTGAGAGAGTCCAGAGGAGATTCATGCACATGATCAAAGGGCAGGAGAATAGGCCTTATGAAAAGAGGCTGAGAGCCACGGGACTCTTCAGCCTGGAAAAGTGCAAGCTCAGGGGTGACCTGGTGGCAGCCTGTAAGTACATCAGGGTTATGCATCAGGATCTGGGGAAACACCTGTTCACCAGAGCGCCACAAGGGATGACAAGGATCAACAGTCACAAAATCCTCCAAGACCTTAGGCTGGACATAAGGGAAAACTTCTTTACTGTCTGAGCCCCCAACACCTGGAATAGGCTTCCTCTAGAGGTGGTGCAAGCACCTACTGTGGACCCCTTTAAGAAGTGTTTGGATGCTTATCTTGCTGGGATCCTTTGACCCTAACTGACTTCCTGCCCTTGGGGCAGGAGGCAGGACTCGATGACTTCCCAAGGTCCCTTCCAGCCCTGATGTCTATAAAATCTAGCACCTCCCCACCCCTGGGCAGAGGTGTGGAGTTCTTATTTCATGTGACTGTTAAAAATCAGACGACTCCACTAATGTCCATGGAATTATATTTGCATAAATCCAGCATGAGTGGGAGATGGCCTGGCACTTTGGACCAGACATAGTTTTATTTTTATGTATTTATTAAATGTATTTGTCACTCTCCCCAAAAGAGGATCAGGGTAACTTACAATAAAAAACAGATAAATTATGAAGACAGAGAAAATGTTAAAATAAAAGAAAATTTCTCAGAAAGGACCCCCAAACTTAACCCCCTCTACTGAAGGCCTGATCATAGATTCCTTTAGAATTTCCCTACAGCTTGGAATTATGGTGACTGCTACAGTTTATTTTCTCCTAAAGAAAATAGAGTGGTTTTGTTTTAAGTTCACTGATGACACCATGCTGGTTCTTTTGAAGTCTGGCTAGAAATAAATGAGCAAATCCTAGGGGGATCCTTAAAGTGTGCAGAAGGTCAGCATAACATAATTCATACTGAGAGTTGAATTAGTCTATGTCCAGTTTATTAATTGAAATTCAGCACAGATCAGTAGCAACAGACTCTTACAGTGTAATGTTGGTATGATGTGACATGAGTGTGTACAGTATACGAAATGAGTGCATGATTTGAGTCCAGTTCCTCATAGACCTATTAGAGAAATCATAATTTGTTGTTGGTAGTATTAACTAGCACCCTTCCTTGAACTCTTAGCAGATGAGCCAGGAATTTCATGGGCAAGGCACATGAATTACCTGGTCAGCACTAGATGTGTTTCTTTCAGGTCAGGGTAAGGTACGTTGTGGTGAGATGTAGGTAAACTTGCTCTGTATAAATTATTGCATCCATGTAATCAATGCTGTATCTGTCACTAGATTAAATGGAGTATTTAAAAGTTTTCAGGGCTGTCAACTCTGATTTTTCACCTGTGTTAGATTTACTTTTCTAAGGAAATGAAAGAGCCCTTTTGTGAAGAAAGAACAAAACCTCTTCAAGCTCCATTATTCTATGTTCATATGCTAAATCTTCCTTTTATGGAAAGAACAATCGATGGAAAAGTACATATCTATTCTAGTAATTTCAAGTGTCCTACTTGAGCCATGTTAGGAGGCCCTGATTTTCAGAAGTCCTAGGTACTCACCCTCTTAAATCAAATCTTTTAAAGATGCCTACAAAGTAAGACACCCCAAATCAGTAGTCACCTTGAAATATTGGGTCATAATATGTTGTAATATAATATCATAATATCTGCATACAAAAAACCCCACATAATGAATATTTGGAAATCCAGTGCATCAGAGCAGACTTGATTAATTGAGCCTGCTGGAGCATGGAAATTGATGCACTCCAGCAGCCTTCCGCATCACATGTATCAGCATTCCCGCATGTCCCGCGCTGAAAAAATGGTGGTGGGACGCTTTGAAATATAACACATTCAGTGAGCTTTAGTTCAAAGCGTCCCACTGCCATTCTTTTCAGCACAGGGATTCTGACACAAGTGAGACGTAGGCACTTTTAATTAGCATGGCTCACTAGATAAAGTGCTCAGCACTGCATTCCACAGCACATGTAAGAATATTCTTAGATTCCATACATAAAAGACCACATTTAGTTTAAAGAGCCCACTGCAGAAATCAGAAAAGTATTTCTTAAAGTTTTTAATATTTTGCCACTCTTTGTCCATGCTTGTACTTCTCTCCATTGCTTGCCAGACATACTGCACATTTGTGAATCTGTTAGGAGGGTGCTTGTGGCGGGTGCAGAGATCCCACCTCAGGAACACAGCTGGGTATTAGTATCCCTCCGCTATTTCCACCACGTGAGGCGGGCCAGTAGGGGGTGCTCCTGCGTTGAGCCACCCACCTCCCTGCGCCCGACCACCTTCCAGGCT